AACAATCAAACGCATAGAGAAGGAAAATATGCCACAATCAATATGTAAATGTTTACTAGAGTTCGTTCCGAACGACTCAAGCGAACGAACAGAGCTTGTGGCGTCCTTCGCTTCAATGGAAATAAGTTTCATCAATTGGGTATGGAAAAATATTATAAAGAAAAAAAAAAACAACAATTCTTTCTAGAGGAAATACGACGTAGTTGTTGTTCTTGAAGTGCAGTAGAGCAGGCGTGGAGAGAGGCGATACGATTGAGAGGAAGTTTCTCGATTAAAAGAAAGATTTGCCAGGATTTAACTAGATCAGATCGAGGATACTGAAAGATAAAGAGACTTTTGTATAGGCCCTGAAGTTCAGAAGACATTTAGAATATATCTTATTTAGATATCATAAAAACTAAGGAGCACTGCTGCATGACGCGCGAAAAGTAAACCAAAGCTAAACCAGATCTAAAAAAGTGTAGAGCTATAAAGTCATCGATTATCTCTTAAGTATCTTCGTTACAAAAAAACTTAATTAAGCCATTAATGAAACCTGCTAAATATTGATGTGAATAATCGTTTTAGACCAAACAAATTTCATTTATCTCAATTCTGGTTTGAAACTAAAACCAATTAACAAGAGAATGAACTTAATTAAGACAAAACCATTAGACTTACAAACATGTTATCAAAAGGGAAACCCAGAATCAATTGAATGGAAATTTTACAACCCTAAGTAGAACATATTTATATTTTTTAGATCTTAAATAACATAACTATACTACAATTCAGCGAATTTTTCTAATTGGTATACATTGTTTGCTTATAGAATGCCTCCTGGACCAAAAGGCCCAACTGAATTGCATTGACTACGAGACAAACAGCTATACCCCAAATGTAGTCGATGTTGGACAGCCGATAATACCCATAACCAAAGCCCACTATGCTGCTGCTATAGCTCCAACTGTGGTTGTTGGTGAGGAGTACCAGCCCGTGGATCCCTCTTCCATCTTGCAGCTGACGCCACCACAGTCGCCGCCGCAGTTCGAGGGCTACAAACAACAACCAGAACTGTCGCCAGCACCGGTACTCGTCAAGGTCGAGCAGAAGGTAAGTTCTATACAGGTATTTCCACACATAAAGAAAAGTCTTATTAAAGTTTTGAAATTTTTTGTAGCAATGCTATGCTACTGATGCTATTCCGGCCACTGCACCGGCCACTCCGTTCGGCTTCAACTCTGGAAACTGGGTGGCGGGCAGCGAGATTGCCCGGAAGAACCAGCTGATCGATGACATTGTCAACATGAGAGCCCTGGAGCTGGAGCGGCCACCCAACTGCCAGCAGCTGAACGATGACTGCGAATCCCAGGACTCGTCTTCGATGGGCTGCAGCAGCAGTAGCAGCGGCAGCAGCAACAGTAGCAGAGTGAGCGGCAGCATTGCCGATGTGGATGAGGACTGGCTGCCAGAGCAGACAAGCAGCAGCCACTCTTCGCCTGCTCACACGTCCATATCCATGGATAATGCTGGCTCGACGGCTGCACCCAAGAAGCGCACTCGCACTTATGGACGAGGCGTGGAGGATCGCAGGATCAGGAAGAAGGAGCAGAACAAGAATGCGGCCACACGTTATCGCCAAAAGAAGAAGATCGAAATGGAGAGCGTGCTGGGCGAGGAGCAGGAGCTGACCCAAGAGAACGAGGGTCTGCGTCGCACTCTGAGGGAGCGTCGTAGCGAGATGCGCTACTTGCGTCAGTTGATTCGCGAATTCTATCAGGAACGCAAGCGTTAGGCATGGCAGCGTCTCTCTCTCTCTCTCACCTAAGTTTTTGATGTCCTTTGCAAAGTTATCGTTATATAAAGTTACATTAACACCGAAGCATCCCCCTTTCACAAAACAAAACCACAAAACATACAAACAACTTTCTATGTACAACCAGCAATCATCCAATGTCCAAGACCCAACCCCAAGAATCGTAGTTAGAGTACCCAGCAGTCTGTCTTGGCCCACACTTTTTGGCACTCATGACGAGTCCTTGCACTCCGATGCACTTCCTGCCAGTGTGGTCGTCAATGACACAACAAGATCAACCCCCAGCAGCACAGGCCAATGTGTCGCCTTCCTGTGGCACCAAAAATATGCACCGTAACAAAAAAAAAGAGCACCCCAAATGAAAACCTTTTTGCGTAGTCTACTAAGAAAATATATAATCAATGGTTAATCCCATTCCCCTGTGCTGTGACTGCTGCACAATGTACTCTCGTTTCGTTCGATTCGTTTTTTGTTTTTACAAATGTAACAGAAATAAATTTGAATTTTTGTAACTAATAAATAATTATATGCAGAATATTATACAATACAATATATCAGCAATAAATCAAAAAGGTTTTCAAAAGGAAAAAAAAAAAAAATAAAATAAATTAATAATGTTTTTGGGGGCAAAGTAAAGGGTAAAGGGGAAAAGAATGGAAGTTAAATGTATCAAAAGTGTAGTTGGTGCCTCTCTTTATTGGTTGAAAGGTTTATTTTGTAGCAATAAGCAAATAACAATATTCAGAGTGAATATCCAAATTGTTCAATTATTTCACCACTTCCTACACAATTTAAAGTTGCATGCCTTCGAATGCTAAACACCCACAGACAGACCACAAACGAGTAGGTACGTTTGTGAGTCGCTTCGTACGCGTCACAACTTTAAACCCGGTACTCAGTCAGTATATACAAAGTACATATGTATGTAAATATGTATGTATTTAACCATTGAACTTTTTTTGAATTTTAAATTTTTTGTTCTTCATCTGTTATCTATCTACATACATATGTTATCTACATACATTCATCACTTCATACCTTCTCAATTCTAACACGTATTTTATCTCGCCCAGAGCAGCACCCTGTATGAGACAGAGTGTGCGAAATTTTGAAATACACATGAAACAGTGTGATTTCACTGCAATCGCGATGCAAAACTTGGATGCTGTAGCTTTTATAGTCTCTAATATCCAGGCGCTCATCAAGACGGACGGACAGACAGACATACCTCGGCTATTGATGCTGACCAAGAATATATATACCATATGAGGTGGGAATCTTTTACGCGTTACGCAAACTGCTCCGACCATTAATACAATATACCCTATTTACTCTTCAAGCACCGGGTATAAAAACCTTTCTTTAAATGCAGCCACAAAGCTAAAACTTCTTCCTACAAAAACTAGTACCAAATACAGCCAGTTTTTATTGCTCTTAAGCACAATAGACTCTTCCCACACTTTTGAAGCCAGAGTTTTAATTTGATTCACTTCTTTTTTGTAAAACTCTACTGGAAAAACCATCGAAAGGCATCGCCCATGGAGCTGTAGCCGGCTTTAGGGCGCATTAACTTTCCTATCGAAAGAACTTTGCTTAATCAATTTGCAATCAACAAGTTTTGCACAGCAGTCCCCAACCCACTCGAGCAGCGGTGTAGTACTCGTACTTTCACATGTGGGTGTGGATGTGGAAGGCGTTGATGACGTGAATATAATCGGATTATGATTATATCGATGTCGTTGTATATGCGGCAGTGATTAGCTTCCAATCGAGTTTAGGAAGGGAGCGAAAATGCATTGAAATAAAATCAAGAGAATGCCAATTAATGTGAATAATTCCTGAAGATGGAGATTGATGCACTTAAAAATGTTTGTACACCGACCGACCAGCCAGAATAGAGTCAAAACAAAACAATTTCTCAATGCTCTGGCATTGAGATTGGAATTGGAATTCGTTTGGGGTGGTGGGGAGGGTGAGAAGAGGCTTCTTTCTCTCTGTGGGATTTGCAACGCTCAGGACATTTTGACTGATGAGTCGACGACGTGAGAGTCACACAACACACAACTCGGCTGCTTCTTTGGGTCTCTTTCGCCATTTTCACTACTAAACTAAATTTTCCACATCGTTAATTTATATTAATATGATTTCTGTGTCAACGGTCGATGCGCTTGCCGTTGTCTAGAGCTCTCTGCTCCGCACTGTTCAGCTCTTCTCCCCATCGTTGGTCACATCGGTGGCTGGCGACTCCCCCCTGTCGTGTGGCAGCAGTAGCGGTGTTGTGGCAGCGACAAGAACGACGACGACGACAACGACTGCGACTACGATGACGACGCCCATGGAGGTCGCCGTCGCAATATTTATCTAAATTGTTATTTTTCACACTCCACGCAGTTCAATGAATTCGTGAAAATTACGTTTGGGACTTTGTGTTTGCTCGGCGCGCCGTCGCCATCGCCATCTCCGGTATACACACATATTTCCTTCCATCTTCCATTGAGCCCATGGAATTGGCTGGTTGGATGGTGACTCTTTAAGCGAGCTAAGTATATTGGCATAAAATTCAATTTTCCTCCATTGTGTTAATCCTGTTATTAGCTCTTCGTTCTGCTCCCAGGAATCCTTTCTATTCCCTGCGCTTAAATTCTCACTCACACTGTCGCATGGGGAACAGCGTCGCGAGAGGCTGAGATTTTTTTTCGTTGATGAATGTTTCCAGGTCCTTCAACTCGTTCCAGCCCTCCTCTCAAACATAAGGATAAACATAGACACAAATACGGTTGGTCTGGCATGGGCGGTTAAGGGTTATGTTTGGACTTTCTTTCTTTATTTGGGCGGAAAAATGTCTATTTATTTGCAGATTTATTTGCGGCTAAATTGGGTTTCTACTTAAAGTTTGGCCAAGAAGGGTTCTTGGGGATGTCGGAAAATGCAGAATTATATTCGGGAACACATTTAGAAGTATGTGTGAGCATTAGGAAATTCTTTGCAAGCTTTTAAACAGAACGAAAATTACAAAAGCATTTCAATCGATTGCATCTATATGAACTACAGCCTAAACAATATTTATAACTCCCTATCGATATATATCGTCAAGACGATATTCTATAAACTGAAGCCAGAGAAACGTCAGAAAAATAAAGTCTAACTTTGTGTAAAAAGAAAATTTCACAAAAGAAAACTTCTTCTACTTCGATAAAGGACGAGCATGAATATCGACTTAAGCATAAACTTGATGGAGGACATGGGCCGCCTTTGCTGGAGCGAACTGTATTCGGATGTGGAGTTTCTGGTGGAGGATCAGCGCCTGCCGGCACACCGTCTTGTATTGATCGCAAGGAGTGAATACTTCAGGGTCATGCTCAAGGGAGGCATGGCCGAGTCGCAGGAGCGTCAGATTCGACTGGAGGTGCCGCTGAACCCATTTAAGCTGATTCTAGTCTACATTTACACGGGAACTCTGACACTGTTCACAGTGGACGTGGATGTCGTGTTCGGTGTACTTGAATTGGCCAACTTCTACGGCTTCGTGGAACTCGAGAAGGCCATAATCAAACATCTGAAGAAGAAGCTATGCATAGATAATGTCTTGGCTACCCTTAATGCGGGACGCCGCTACATTCTGCAAAAACTAGATACAAAATGCCTCAAGTTCATCGACAAACATGCAAAGCAACTACTAAAGCACGAGACCTTCTACTCTCTGCAACAGGAATCACTCGAGGAAATACTGCAGCGCAACACGTTCTATGCGCCCGAGTTGGCCATTTTTGAGGCGGTGTGGAAATGGAGCCGCCACAACCCGGAAAAAAACATTAAATCGGTAGTCTCCCACATACGTCTGTCGGTAATCAAATCCGTCGATTTGCTGAATGTGGTGGCTAACTCGAGAATTGTCGAGATGAAACAAATAACCGAAGCCATCATAGAGAGGAGCACCCAAAGTTATCTGCCCCACCGTTACAGATGCGTCAAGAAGCATCGTCTGAGAGTAGAGCACAAAAATAAGCGAAAGACCTTTGATCTTGGCAAAATGTACTTGATCAACAAGATCACAATTATTGCAAAATACCAGGTGGATACACAATATGATTCTAAAGTCAAAATGCAGGTTTCCTGCAACAAGTTTGACTGGGAGAATTTGGAAATTCCTTTGTCGCAGAATGCCCCATATATGTGTTACGAGCCGAAGAAAAAGATGCTGTTTTTCCGCTTCTGGGACCGACCCGTTCGCTACATTCGGGCCGTGGCTTTATGTACGTGTGGCAGTAGGCTGTCTAAATTTAAAATATATGAGCTAGTTGTCTCGCACACAAGATCCTGACCAGTCAAGCGAGGACAGGGAAAATCGTGTTATTCTTATTATAAAATCGAAATAAATTCGTGCTTAGCCGATTGAATTTCGTCGTTGCTTTACATATCAATTTCACACACACACAGCAAATCGGTTTCACAGCTAACCAATTCGGTTTGGAGAGCAATTGTAATATTAAACCACTGGCATTCCAATCCGCAGATGTCTCCCCCAAGAGAAGTGTCGCTGAGAGAGAGAAATCAACGTCATCGTTAAATTTAATTAGGCATCAAATGACCAAACAGCCCAAGAGAAGAACTAAATCAAAAACCAAATGGCCTGAAAATGACCCAAGTGCACGAGCCATCATCCACCCCATACACCCATCCTCTGGGGCCAGAGTGGGGTGTCCTTAACACTTTAAAACACAATTAAAAGTCAAACCGTCAGCGCCTTGACTTGGCCCGGGTTGGGATGTAAATGGAAGCCAGTGGGCAATCCTCCAAGGACCCCGCAGAGTCCGCCAATAAGGCGCCAAGAGAGAAAGTGTGGTGTGCTGTGTGTGGGAGAGAGGTGGAACATGACACTCTCTTTTACATAACATTTAACAAAATTATAATGAGGCATAGAACGGGAATTGTGTGTGGCATAGAGTGGGAATTGTGTGTGGCATGGGTTATCCTTCGGGGTGATTGAAGTTTAACCCTTGGCGCATGTTAATGAGATGATGTGAGGAATAAATTTACGCTTTTTTGTTTAGCTTTTTTATCGTTTTTCGGTTTGATTCTAAAAAGATAATCTCATGCATGTGAGGAGCAGGGGAACTCGGTGGCGGTGACTCTAACTGTGGCTTATGTAATTGCTTGGAGTGAGTCATCGTGGCTCATGAGCTAACCGTGTTAGGCACCCATTAGTATAAATTCTATTAGAGCACTGAGGAAAAACTAAAGAGAAATAAGAGGGAAATTTGTCGTTGTGAAAGGCCGAAGAATTGAGTACACTTTGATATGTACAGAAATATTAGCTTGGGGCTCCCTAATGTGCAACTAGAATTAGTTGTTTTTGTAGGGAAATCAATGGTAAATAAATAAATATAGTAAACAAAATTAAGGAAAGTCTCAACTTAGCTGTACAAAAAAAAAAGCCCTCAGAAAACTGAAAAATATACATAAACTAATGCAAAAATATTCTGTTTTAGGACACCGCGGCCTTAACAACATTTCACACTGAACATCTGACACTGCCCTCTGCTAGAGTATATTTCAGAAATGTACTTCCAAAGTACTATCTACGAGTATGTAAGATGGGTATTATTTATGTAATTATCGCACACACACACACACACACACACACACACACACAGCAACAAAAGACAAACAGAAACCCAAATTGGTTTATCTCTCAGCATGGGACAAAAGCTTCCCTTTAGATGTTCATAATTACAGAGTACTCGGCGGAGTATACTCCGGCTCCGAGTGTGCAGTGGAAATCTTCCATTTGAGATTTCATTTGTTGCAATTTCATTTGGGTTTCCATTTGATTTTGCTCATTCTTTTTATAACAAATTTCTACTTTCCATTACAAGCACATTTTATGATAGACCCCACCCACCAAATGTTTGATTTTTGTTTTTTCCCATTTTTTCGTGTTGTTTTTGTTTTTTGAGCTTATCTAATCGTATAGAGTGCGAAAATGTTATTTTGGCTGCTTATCTACCCACCCGCACGCCACCCAATTTTCACACATTTTCCTTTTGTTTTCCCTTTTCCATTTACAGACACCTTTTGCACGTAAAAATAAAGTTAAATAATATGTAAACAATGTACGAGTAGGGAGTCAAGAGCCAAGCGGGTTACGAATGCGGGCCAATTTCAATTCAATTGGAATGTTTATGCACCCGGCAAATGGAACGATGATGTGGGGTTGCATTGATATGCCCGGAGGGTTGGGTTCTTCACTTGCAGAGGCGAAACTATTCAAACAAGTGCTTATACACATTATTCCTTGGGTTTATTGGATGTTTATATAAATTACTATGGGGAGGGGAAGAGCAAAGACTCTTTGATTGTTTCAAAATAAATGCTTTGGATGAATTCCATTTGGCATGGTCAAGATATTTGAAAGATTTGAATACAAAATTAGGGGAATTAGAATTAGAGGAATGGGGTGTTAAAGTTTTACTTCATTTAAATAGGCTATAAATAGACATGCATTCAAATTTTAGACATTTAACGCTTTTTCAGTGAATTTTTATCATTCTTAGGAACATTTTCGGTATTGATTCCTCTGCTTAATAGATTTAAAGAATAAATAAATTTCCTATATGCATGTATTATTCATAATAAATTCTGTAAAAACCATTTATAAATCTCTATTCCCAACTGCTTGTGTTCCTTTCTATCTCAAAACTGTAATTTCTTTAACATTTTCCCTTGAATTTCAAATCAATCAATGATTTAAATGCCAATCAGCTTTAACCAACGATTCAATAAATAAATTGCAACACTTTCCAAGCACTTTCCCTAACGTGTCTTTGCCGCTCTCTGTCCCTCTTTTGGTCACAGACAAAATCAAATGCAATTTCACGGCTATTTGAGTGGGAAACAAAACCGTTTCTCTACTTCCTTTTCCCAATAATGAAATAAATGAGCGCAATTTTCAATTTGCCACGCAGATGAGCCACAAAACAAAGAGAAGCTGGAGCTGTAGACTCCGGCTCCAACCCGTGGCATGCACCAAATGCAGTTGCCACAGCAGAGGATTTAAGCCAATTGCATACAGTACAGGACAGCCCATAAAGTGCGAGAAGGAAGGAGAGCACGCCATTAAGTGTGCAACATGTGCAACAATTAGCGGTATCCCTCGCTGGGCTGGGCTGGGCACATCTTTGACATTTACACGAATATCTCCTGCGCCTGTGCCTTTGCCTACTACGCCTGTCTCTATGTCTCCGTCGTACGTGACATTTGGGCAATTGGCTGTTTGGACATTTTCAAGTGGTAAGCGCTGAAAAGTGGCGCATTGCTATGTGCTGATTACATGGTTGGGTGTACACTGGCAGAAGTCATATGACAATGCGAAAAAAGCACTTTACGAGGTAAAGTAACGTCTCAGTGCAAGCTAATTGTCGTATATTGGATTGTCAAAGATATCCTATTTTGATGATTTTTGGTAGTTTGTCAACGAATCATCAAAAATCAGCTGACTTTTCGTTTAATACTTCTTCATTCGACCTTCAGCTTTATTTTCCAGTGCAGTGGCGTTCTAAACGAACGAATCTTGTCATTGCAATTGAAAGAGTTCGGCTCTTCTCTTGACATTCCTCTCTCTATTTGTGCTCATATCCTCATCTTTCCCCTTCCTCAAATTCCCTCAGGGAAAGAAGCTCTACAAATGTACATTTAATTAGCCAAGAGCAAGAAGCATTTCATTGCTCTCACTCCCTTTCTCATACTGCTCTTCTATGACATGATTTGTTTGTCAACTTGAACATTTGAAAGGGCTTCAACGAAAGAAAGAAAAAAAAAGGACATGCAGTCCCCTTGTCCATGGGATGTTTGGTATCCTTCTTGCATCATCTTTTTGTTGGTTAAGCAATCAAGAAGGAAAAAATAAAAGAAAGGTTAGCTTTGGGCACTGAATGCTTTAATACTCTTTCAGAGTCATTGGTACTATCGGAATTGATACAAACTGTTGGTAGATAAGTAAAAAGCTGCAGTTTCTTATGTTTTATTTGGGAACAAACACACACATTTTACGACTGTTTTTTCCAATGAAATCTATTAAAATCTGGACTGTGGAATAGAATGGTGTGTATTTTAGGTACATTGCTGTCTGAGCAACTCTGATCTCCTTAAAATCAGAGTACCCTTTCTATCCCTGCAAAGGACATGGGAAAGGGAAATAAAACTCGCGTCACTTGAATCCTTAGAAAAATCAAAAACAATTAAAGTTTGCTCAGGAAAAACAACAAAACAGAACTCATCAGCATGCCACACACGCGCACACATACACAGGCCGTACCCATCGTGTGTGTAAACATGTTCCATTTCCCCACATTACACCCACCCACACGCACACACACTCACACACACACCGCAACAGAGCAGATAACGTTGCCTACTTTTGCGCGCTTGGGTCGCCAACGCAAACAAGTTTTTGCGTGACGTCGTTTGACGTTTCCTTCTTTTACATCCCCCCCCCCCCCCCCCCCCCCCCCCCCCACCCCCCCCCCCCCCCCCCCCCCCCCCTCTCCCCCCCCCCACCCCTCCCCCCCCTCCCCTCCCCCCCACCCCCCCCATCCCTCCCC